TTTATTTATTTATTTATTTATTTATTTAACTTATATGCCGCCCATACTACCCGAAGGTCTTGTCCAATGGAAAGGACAACGTCGCAGGAGTTGCCAGAATGACATGAACTGCCTCCCAGACTCCGGCTCTGGATTTTGCCTCGAGGTTAACTCTTGAATCATTTTCCATCTGTGGATAGAGCCACGAGGCAGTGGAGGTTTGAAATAGGAATTTTCCTTCTCCTAGATGGGCTGCCTTCCAAGGCTGATGAGCCCCACCTACCTGGCCTCCTCTCTAATAGTGCAGAAGTATGATCCTACCTGTCAAACTTTCCTACTCCCAGGTGTATGCAATGCTAATTGGCTTTCCTATTTACCAGATTAGGGACAAAATTAGAATCAGAGAATTTCACACTCTGTTAGGCGTGCACTTCTGCTCACCCTCATTTAAAGCTGAAACCCCACCTCCTCAGACCATGCGGTCAGGGAGAACAAAGGTCAGCCTAGAAAAAATACCTTATCAAAATGTCTACACAACATACTTCACCTCCTGCCTCAGCTTCTTTAAGAAAAGGGGATTTAGGATTAACTTTCCTGAAAAAGTGGGGTTTATATAGAATTGAATACTTAAGCTCATGGCACAACTTTTGAGAAGACAAAATCTGTATGGTATTAAGAAAGATATCAGGGATTGCTTTCAAAATACAGTGGTGCCTCACTTAATTATGTTAATTGGTTCCAAAAAAAACATCGCTATGGGAAAACATCGTTAAGCGATACACCATTTCCCATAGGAATGCATTGAAAACCGGTTAATCCGTTCCAGTGGGAACGGATTGCCGTCCTTAAACGAAAATCCCCATAGGAAACATCGCTAAATGAAACAATGTTTCCCCCAAGGGAAAGCCATTCAAAAGCACTGAAGCCGGCTTCAGTGCTTTTGAATGGCTTTCCAATGTCCGTTTTCGCTCATTTTTAAGTGTCTTAAAATGTTTGAAACCTGTTGTAAATGCTTGGAATTGGTAGCGCACCTTGTGAAACCTATGCAAACTTAATTTGGCTCTGTTCTGAGTCTTCGTTAATTTTTGGTGATTTTTTGTTTTCCCCCTTTAAATCCATTGAACTGTCCGTTCAATGGATTTAAATGGGGAAAACAAAAAATCACCAACAATTAACGAAGACTCAGAACAAAACCAAATTAAGTTTGCACATGTTTCACAAGGTGCACTACCGAATCCAAGCATTTAAATCAGGTTTTAAACATTTTAAGACACTTTTAAAAGAGCAAAAATGGACATTGTTAAGTGAAATTCCCCCATAGAGAACATCGTTAAACGATGGGGAAATTTCCTCAAAGAAACCCATCGCAAAGCAAATACATCGTTAAACGAAGCAATCGCTAAGCGAGGCACCACTGTAGTGGGTTTTTTTTTTACATTCTCTGTTTTTGATGTTCAGTTGAATAGTTAATAACTGTTGAATAAACTTAATAACTATTGACTAAACCTATTTTCCCCTGGGCAAGAAATAGACAAATTAAGAACTCTTTGTTTCTTTCTATACCACTCTATTAGTGTTGCCACTCTCTGGGTGGTTAATAATGGCCTGTGATATCAGTGTGCTCAGCAATAATAGATCTAGGTCAGTGGCAGTGAGCCTTTTTGGGCCCCGAGTTCCCAAACTGAAAAAAAAGAAAAAAAACAGCAGGCCGCAACGGCGGCAGAACTGGAAGTGGCGGCAGTGAAACCAGAAGTGGCGGCGGAAGGGGGGAGCTGGAGCATGGAGGTGTCTTGATACCCCACTCCGGTTCTGCCGCCAGAACCAGCTGCTCTGGATCCTGGCCCTCCACCTGTTGAAGCACCAGCACCGTGGCTGCAGCCGTCTCCTGAGGTTTGGATGCAGGGGAGGGGAGTAGTGATCCGGCGACTTATGGTTGCATGGCCGCAGAAAGGCCTCTGCGTGCCAGCTGTGGGACGCGTGCCATAGGTTCACCATTGCTGGTCTATGTCATAAACCAGCAAGTTTAGAACCATTCTGTTCATCCTTGCCTTTGGAATAATCTCCCTCCTGAGATTCTTATGGCCCCTTCGCTGGGCATTTTCAAAAGCCAATTCAAAACTTGGCTGTTTAAGCAGGCATTCCCTCCAGCCACTATTTGATTTATGTTTTTCCTTTTTACTTTCCGTTTTGAACAATTGATTATTGATGCTATATATTGATGTTATATTTAAATTGTTTTAAGTGTTGTTAGCCGCCCTGAGTGGTCAATTGATCAGATGGGTGGGATATAAATACAATAAATAAATAAATAATTTCAGTTGTTTAGTCATTTGGGATGGCCGATATCTTTTAAATCACAGAAATCCATTTTAAAAGGATTCACAGCCACTACTGTAACCTTGAATGAGATTCATAAAAGTTGATAGTTAAAAAACAAAAGTAACATTCTCTTTCAGCAGTGGATATTTGTGGTTGAGTCTTAATAATATAACAATCTTCAATTCTGAACCTGCTTTCATATGTTTCAGAAACAGAAGAAACAGAGCATGCCAGTAGTATTATTAATCTTCCTTCTGAGCTTATCCTGACCATTTTTAGTTACCTTAGCCCTCAAGAGCTGTGTCGATGTAGTCAAGTAAACACCAAATGGTCTCAACTAGCTAAAACTGGATTTCTCTGGAAACATCTTTATCCTGTGCGCTGGGCCAGAGGTGAGTAACTGAATTCTCTGGTTCTCCTGTGTAGAAGCAACAGCAGGGGAGGGTAGGAGGAATTGTTGGGTTGTATATTATCCGTGTCATGTCAGTTAGACATTGTTTATTTTCTGCTTCGTGGACAAACATTTCTTTCATTAGTGATTGCTCATCTTGATTGTAGAAAATCTGGGCTATTAGCATGCTGCACCTAATACTATGTTCAATTATAATAGTTCAGATAAGTGATGTTGCTTAGTGTGTCTGCAGATACATAATGAAGCTAGTACAAATCTGTACATTTGTGTGTTTTACTCCATAATGTTTGGTTTACACCTTTTAAATTTTATTTTGATGCAGTCCAATATGCAATCAGGTAGTATGTGTGGTCATGTTTAGACAGTGAGTTATTTGCAAAGTAAGGAATTTTTGAAGTCTAGATTACCCTGCATTTAGTATTCATGTTATAGAGTGCATCTAACAAAACATTATTGTTCTTGAAACCTGGGCAATACTTCTACTGAATTGTAAGTAAATACATTCTTACCCCTTCATCTTTGTTAAAATATTGATTTGGGGGGCTTCTGATGTGCATCTTTTTCTAATTCTCTCAATGACAAAATATACACTTGTGAAATTTCATAAAGAAAGGGAAGTTGGTCAGACATTTGGCAAAGACTAGGGATACACTTAACTCTTGAGTATAGTTGCAGAAGACCTAACTACTGGGAATGCTCCTATACTGGAAGGGATACTGTCACTTTATAATTTTGCATTCTGTTCCCTAGGAATTAAAAATAAGGACAATGACACGCATGGTGTTTCAAGCACCCTGTGTGATTTCTGCTACTTGCCACTTTGCTTCCTAGCAAGTGTGGTCCTTTCTAGTAGCTAATCCCAGCCCTGTTTTAATAATTTTAAATGCTTTCTCACTGCATCAGGAGACTGGTCCAGTGGCCCACCAGGTGAACTTGATACAGACCCTGATGAGGAATGGGTAGAAAACAGAAAAGATGAAAGTCGTGCCTTTCAGGAATGGGATGAAGATGCTGATATAGATGAGTCTGGTAAGACAGAGTTATATCTGCCTTCTGTAGTTTTGTCACTCCAAAAATAGTTTTGACTGCAGTTAAACTAAAATACAGCACCTTAAGATCGTTCACTGTCTTCATAGGAGCAGACGTTTTCCAGCTTGGCTTGCTTTATTTCTGTGACTGCATTGTTACTGTGATAGCCATCGAAGCTATTCAAATGGCTTTATTTACCAAGGGTGATTATAGATCAAGAGAACTTTCTCTGAGTCAAAACCAATGCTGCACTGTTGATGTTGAGAGCACTAAGTGTCCAATCAATTGCCTCTAGAGTGATATCAGCGCTGAAAACTATCTCCACAATTTCCAGAAACCATAAGCAGTCACCAAACCTGATCCCACTCTTGTGAAGAGATCAAAGTGTGGTGATTAAAGGCTCCTTCTCCAACTGGGAGGAGGTAACAAGTGGGGTACCCCAAGACTCAGTCCTGGGTCTGGTGCTCTTCAACATTTTTATTGATGACTTGGATGAGGGAGTGCAGGGAATACTTGTCAAATTTGCTGATGACACAAAATTAGGTGGAATAGCTAATACTCTGGAACCTGGCACCTGGACCACTGACACACTGGCATGGACACTATATCAGCATAAGTGGAGCAAAGGCAACCACTTCAACACAGAGGCATAGCAAACATGCCACCTACTTTGCAATCGAGCTTATTCCTGGCTGCTCAGTATCAACATTACCCACTGTGGAACAGTTTCACAAGGGCAGAAAGAAGGTGGACTCCCAGGCTGCATCACTGATCTGCAGCTCAGGAGACCCTTTGGGCACCAAGAGCTTTGGAACTGAAGGATAGAGATTTCTATCTTTCCATCCTCCAGCTCATCAAAATTCATTAACTGACCAGCCTCAGGGAAACAACAAAACTGACACACATGGTCTTGGTCTGAGCCTTGCTCAGTGAACTGAATTTGCCAACACCAATAAAGAACTGATATTGAGACCAACTGACCTCATCATCAAAGAGGGACAAGCATACTCTGCACTGTCAGGATGGGTCTTCAGAGTCAGAAAACGAAGCCCAAACACCATGACTGATTGAGACAAAAGTACCGTAACCTTAACTCAACCTGCATCTCAAAATCATTACATCACAATATATACACTTCAAAATGAGGAAGTTGAATGGATATACTTAGTCAGCCATATTCCAGAACTGAAAAGCATCCAAAGCCCTTGAAAACTACAACACAAAAGCAAGCCCTTATTACAGTTGACACCCATTCTCCTAATTCTGAGACAGACAAGGCGCCTTTACAGGATTCCCTATCCATTTTAGTTACAATCCTTGAATCTATTTTTTGCTTTGGGCAACAACATCTACCAGTTTAAAGCACTCCTTTTTGGTTTTCCTATAGCACTGAGGATTTTCACAAATGGCACTGGTTGCTACCTACCTCAGACTCCATGCCATAATGATGTTTCCTTATATAGAAAGCTGGTTGATAGTGGCTACTCCACGGCAAAGACGGAGAAAGATATCTGGTTCATCCTCTCTCTTCCATGGGATCTCAACATGAATCTAGAATAATCCATTTTAGAATCACATAGGAGGATACATTATATACATTATGTACATTACACTACTGATTTCCAAATTTGCCAGAGCATACTTGCCACAGGAAAGAAAAGACATACTACTAATATTGATAAGGCAGTTCAAACAAATACAGGAATTACAGCTTTCATGGCTCAACAATTCCTTAGCCTGATGGGGCTCAAGTCAGCTGAAACTGGGAAGAGTTGAAGCTGTTATTTTAGGGTTATTTGGTGCCTGAGGCAGGGAGTGAAACTCTGTCTTTAGTGAAAGGCCTAGCTGGAGGACAGAGGCCTGGAAACAGTAGCTTAGCTTACCAGTGGATGAGTGCTGGGAAAGCGAAGTTGTAACACAGACTCTCACTGAAGTAAAAAAGTGTGCTTTTTAAATTGAGGCTTGGAAATTAAATAATAAGCCTGAGTTAAGAAACATGCCTTCCACCAGAGGAAAGAAAGCTGAAAATTTGCCCAGTGAGTTGGCAGTTGTGTCAGATGAAGAAAATGGGGATTCTGAGGAGGAAATTACCTCAGATCAGGTAGTTGAAGCCTCAAAGGGGGATGAATCAATAGAATTCAGAAAGTGGAAATTGGAGCAAGATCGAGCACATGAATACAGGTTGAAAGAAATGGAAATGAAGGCCAAAGCTGAGGAGAGGCAGCAGAATTTTGAACTAGAGAGAGAATGGCTTTTGAAATTAGGAGGCTAGAGCTAGCAGCTCAAGCCAATAATAACAATGATGGCAGAGCTAACTCTGAGGAGAGACATTTGTTAAAGGCAGACCTGAAAAGCTTCCCAGTTTTTAGAAAGGGGGATGACCCTGAATCATTTATGGTGATGTTTGAGAGAGCATGTGAAGATTTTGAAGTGAGGGAATCTGAAAGAATGATAGTGCTGAGATCTCAAATTAGTGGAGGCCTAGCAGAGATCTACGCCGAGATGCCTTTGGAATTAATTAAAAATTATGATGAGTACAAAAAGATAGTTTTTGCCAGGTATGGCATCAATGCAGAGCATTTGAGGCAAAAGTTCAGGGCTCAGACAAAGAAACCTGAAGAGTCTTATTTGCAGTTTGGGGCAAATTTGACCAGATACCTGGATAAATGGATCCAACAGGAGGGAGTGGAAACAGTACAAGATCTTAAAAACATCATTGGTCTTGAGCAGTTTTCTTCACTCCTACCTGGTGAACTGAGGTATTTAGTAAAGGACAAGAAACCCAAAAATCTGCAAGAGGCGGGACAGGCCGCTGATTTTATTTCCCGGATTAGAAAACCAAGTGGTTATGAGGGAAAAGTTGTGAGGAAATTATGGGAGGACACAAATATGTATCCCAGAGGACAATTTAAGAACCAGCAGAAGGTTGGGGGCCATTTTGTGGGTAAGCCCTCAGATCAGAACCAGACCAGAAACCAAAATTTGGAGGGAAAAGGAGTTAAGAGCTCTGGTAGTGATCAATTGAATTTTAGGACTTCTTTCAGAGGGCAGTTTAAGAACCAGCAGAAGGTTGGGGGACATTTTATGGGCAAGCCCTCAGATCAGAACCAGACCAGAAACCAAAAGTCTTTTGGGGTCTAGAATGCAATATGGATATAAGTTGTGGGGAAGACCATAACTAACCGATACTGGGGGTCAGCTCAAACATTAAGACAGGGCGAATGTTCTCTAGAGATGATTGGAGGCCACATACACTGTCCCTAGACTTGGAAGACTGCTCTTACAATCATGTACAGTGGGGTCTTGACTTGAGAACTTAATCCGTATTGGAAGGCGGTTCTCAAGTCAAAAAGTCTGTAAGTCAAGTCTCCATTGACCTACAGTGCATTGAAAACCGATTAATCCCGTAACAGGCCGTTTTTGTTCCATTTTGGTTTTTTTCTGGTCTGTAAGTCAAATCTCAGTCTGCAAGTCAAACCTAAATTTTGTGGCCAGAGAAGTCTGTAACTCAAAAAGTCTGTAAGTCAAGCCGTCTGTAAGTCAAGGGTCCACTGTATTGTGTGCAGCAGGAAGAGGTTAACACTCAGAGGGAGGAGTTAGGCGCCATGGCAACACAAGCGGAGCTCTCTACACAAGCTGACAACATAGAACCTAATCTTCCTGTGGCAGAAATTCAGCATTGTTACCTCATTAAGACGAACCAGGAGTTATTTAAAACTTCTGGAGATAGTATTTATGTCTTTAACAATAAATATATGGCGCTGAAGGACTCGTGTTCGCAAGTAACCTTATGTCATCCTGATATTATCCCTCAAGAATACATTTTGAAAGGGGAACACATGTCTGTTAAGGGAATTGGAGAGGCAGCTGTTATTCTGCCAGTGGCTGAAATACCCATCAGATATCAGGGGTGGGAAGGAAAATGGAGGACTGGGGTTTCTTCACAATTGCCATCAGCTGTTTTGATTGGTACTGACCTCTCTGAGCATGTGAAGAGGGTTTTAGTTCTGACTCGTTCCCAAAAAGAAAATGTAGGGACAGCTGAGGAAGAAAATGAAAGTCATATGAAGATAATGACAGACATTAGTGACTCAGCCGAGATAATTCAGCTTAATAATCCCCAAAGCAATACATTCACTCAGGAACAAAAAGCAGATTCCATGCTGAAACGTTGCTTTGAAAAAGTTAGTGTAGGACCATTGCCCACAGTTACCCTGAGGGGAGAGGACCCTACACCTGAATCAGTGCTAATGAAAAGTCCACTAGAAAACACTTTTAAAAGGGAACAAAGTACAGATCAATGGTTTAAGAAAGTTGGCAAAGGTCAGTTAACTCCCGAGAGTCCTGAAGGGCTCTTTCTAGATAAAGACCTTTTGGACAGTGAGGCCTGTGTGAATCCCAGTGGTGGAGGGGAGACTCACCTCAAGCAACTGATTGTTCCTCGCAGCTCACATAGACTTCACTAACACTGACCAGAGGTTAGGACAAAACCTTTACTGCCTTGAAGTGGAGGAGCAGTTAAGAGAACATGGCCAGAGGTGTAAAGGAGGTCTGAGGCAAGGGGATTGCAGTGGCAAACCTGACGTCAAGCTGTGTCCTTTACCTGTCGTTTCGAATCCAGACCATAGCATTGAGTTTGACATAGTTGAGCCATTGACCAGAGTTACCCTGAGGAGAAACAAATTCAGTCTGTATAGCGTTGACTGTGTGGCAGGTTATCCTGAAGCAGTTCCCCTGAAAATATTGAGGCTCAGAACATGGCAAATGCACTGCTGAGGCAAATGGGTAGCAGCAGGTTTACCTCTGAGCTCTTCAAGTTTCTAGAAACCTATTTCGCTTCCGGAATGCTGCAAATGATCTCCCAAGTGAGTGAGGGAGATTATATCAATCTGTCAGAGGGAGAGACAAGACAGACAGGATACCAGGGGAAAATAAACAAGCACTTCTATGGCAAAGGAGACCTTGTCTTGCTAGCATTGGAAGGGGCAGACAGGGAAAGAATTGGGTTACCTTGCGGGGAAGGGAGGTGTAAACTCAACTACCCCTCAGAGGAGGACCAAGTCTGTACCTCAATTTCCCCAGAAAACCAAAAAGATGCTGGAGACGTGCTTATTAAGGGCAAGCAGGTTTTATCTACCAAGTCCAAAATAGCCAAGGGTGTTGTGCAAAGGTTTGACACCGGGGGTGCACACCTACAGGTTGTTTCCCCTTATAGAGGACGTACCTTTCCAGCTAAACTTTAGGGCCAAACAGCAAAGTTCGGTCAATATAAGAGAAGGATAAAGGCACTGAGAAAGCATGCATGGCCATATTGGGAAGGTAGATGGGGTGACCTTTCGAAAGCTAAATAGGTTGAGACGTAGCCTGACCCTGCCAGTGATGCGAAGGGCAAAAGAATGGCGAGTTAGGCTCGAGCTTGCTAGGCCCTACTTAAAGGGTTTAATCGAGAGCATCATATTGGCAGCTCCAGAGGTGAAACTCTGTAGAGAAGCTAAAATTGCAAGACAGAAAGAGAGATGGAAGACAGCGCCGGAGGCAGACCATTTGCGGAGAGGTCCCGAGTGCCAGCGAGGCGTCCCCATCATGGAGGGTTCCAGGTTCGAGACAGGAGTCGCACCGGGCCAGGCAGATGACTGCAAGATCCTTCATCCGAGGCTGTTCCAGAGAGGGAAACTACAGGTTGGCGAGGGACCCCAGCTATCTGCAAGTTGTGAGTTTTGTAAAGGTGCAGAGGGTGTTGGACTTCACCAGACCTCCAGGTGCGCTGGAGGGTAGGACATTTCCTTTATGGACACTACTATTCCACCATAACTACAGTTTTGGACTTTTGAAGAGGACTTTGATTTTGAGGTACACGTAATCAAAGGGACTAAAAATGGTGCTGCAGGTGCCCTCTCAAGAAGACCAGAAGACTAAATAAGAAGAAAAAGGACTCTAGCAAAATGGTGAAAGTAATAAAAATGTTCATGTACACATTGTGTAATGTTATGATATGTATTCAAAAGGAAAATATATGTAAGTAATTTAAACGTTATGGTAGGTTAATAAGCATGCACCTATGTAAACAATTGAAATGTTGAAGTGTTTGATGTAATTAGTAACTGAATTGCAATGTTAATGTATAGTATGCAAGTAAGTTGTTGATTAATTGTAAATGTTCAAATGTGTTAAGTGTGAATGTGATATTGTGTAAATGGTGTGATAATTTTGAGTGTAATATTGTAATGTTTTAATGAAATAAGCTCCTCGTTGTTCATGAGGGTAAAGCACTATAGCTTTTCCCCCATGAAACAACTTGTTAAGGGGTGGAGGTATGTGGCGTTCAGCCCTGCCCTCATCTGTCCGTCACAGCTGAGTAGTGTAAAAAGAGCCAATGAGTGAACGGAAGGTAGTGCTACAGGGGGAGGGGCTGGGATAAAAAGGGATGTATGATGAGATTGAGAGAGTTTTGGGAGTGAGAGAGATGAGAGAGAGAGTAGAGATCTGAGTGAGAAGGCAGTGTGTTAATGAGTCAGTGAGAGCAGAGTCTGTGTTTTAGAGAGTTCAGTGATTAAAAGAAATTGATTATCTAATTGTGATTTACCTATTTCTTTTATGTAATCAAATAAACAAGTTTAAGTTTTAAAGTAAATACAAGTGTCAGTGAAGATTTGGTATTGGAGCAGCAATACCTGGTGGCAGCTACCTGAGAAGAGGAGTGAGCACATACTGGAGGCCTGAGTTATTATAGGCTCCAGCGTGCCCGCTACAGTGGTTTCAGACTTTCACTTCATTTCACCTCTAGTTTTCCCAACATTTTTCCTATCACCTACTGTGGAATCAGAGAATGCTTTTCCTCTCTTGGATATTCATAAAGCTCTGACTTTCTATACTTCTAGAAAGAAGTATTTTCATAAGTCTAACAAGCTGTTTGTCAGCTATCAAGGTGCAAAGACTGGGTGAGAACATCAACCTCCCCCAAAGGTTATCAGAGTGATTCGTCAGCACAATTAAATTGTCCTGTATGCTGGCAAAGAAACCAGTCCCTGATTCTCTGAGGGGAAGGCTGTTGCAGCTTCCACACAGCCTCTCTCAGAAGGGTAATTAATAGACATATGCAAAGCAGCAACATGGTCTCAACCCTTGACACTTGTCAGACACTATAGTTTAGATGTTGGGGCCAAACATGATGCTGCCTTAGGAAGACTGGTCATTACATCTGTCTTGGCCTGATATCCCACCAGTTGGTAGGTAAACTTGCTAGTCATCCACATGTGTGATTCACAGAGGTCACGATGAAGAACAGCTTACATATCTGTGACTTTAGTTATTTGTGTGCAAATTTACACAACCCGTCCATCTTTCTGTCAGTCTGGCATACTGTTGTTAAGTTATATACAGTGGCAAACTTGTGGAACACATTGACTTGCGCAGTGGGGGCCAGTCCTAACCATCTTTTTGCTTTGACCTCTAGAATATTTTGACAAGTTTTATGTAGATACAGAACAACCTGCATGTTGTTTCACAAATAAACGGGGAAAAACTTTTTCTAAACTTGTTCTTGGACACACAAGACAAGAAAGGCTGGAGCCCAAGACACATTGCAGCTCATTCTTGGTTATCTGCCTCATTTTAATCTTTAGTTTGACATGTAAATACTGTATCTGTAATTTTATCCTTTCAGCTGTAGTGTTATCTGTGAACAACCAATGACAGTGGGTGGAGAAGGACTACTGAAGTAGGATTTTCACTCACTCTCCATCCTTTGTCCATCTAACAAGTCTATTCAGACGAAAGGGAACTGAAACCAATGTGGAGGATATAACAGGGCTCTCCTACCAGCTCTCCTCAAACTGAAGAAGCTACTTGCATGAGTAGTGAAACATTTCAACCTAGTAAGCAAGAAATCCAGTTGCCATGACTCCACTTTCAGCTAGTTGTAGTGTAGTGTTATAATATGAATAGCTCTTCACTAGTAAATCTAGTGTCTGGTGTACTTGTTTTGCTTTTGATTTTTTCTTTCTATTTCTTTATAGAAGAAAATGCAGAAGAATCCTTGGCTATCAGCATTGTTCAGAAAGAGAAACACTTACTCCAAGGTTTAATTCATAATGTTCTGCCATGTGTAGGCAATTCAGTGAAAACTATTGTGTTGGCATACAGTTCAGCCATATCTAACAAAATGGTAAGTTTATATAAAATGAGTGAATATTTGTAAACTGTAATGATTAACAATAATATAGAACACAAATACATTTTTTAAAATAATGTGATGCTTTTTGGAGGCAAAAGTTATATTCAAAATAGATTAAAATCATAATATGCTAAAAAGAGTTTGTAAAACTGAAATGATTTTATACTTGTCTCCTTTTTCAATTGACTTTTTAAAACATAGGTGAGACAGATCTTAGAACTATGTCCTAACCTGGAGTATCTTGATCTCACACAAACTGATATTTCGGACTCTGCATTTGACAGGTTGGTACCTCTAGTTTTTAAATGTTTTTTACTAACTTTAAAAATAGTGAAGTATTGATGAATCAGAAACAAATCGAATCTTGATACTTAAATTGGTTAAACTGTTGAGGGCTGGAGAATTTAGCTAAGGAAGCTGGTTTAACTCATAGTCTATATGCATCTCAAGAGGAAACAGTACTCAAAGTAAGGGTGACTCTGAGACCTTAATCTGTATTATAATCTGTATTATAATGAACAGCATTATTGTGCCTGTGTCCTTTTGAAACAAAATTCTGGGTTGCGAAACTAGATTGCAAAGCCTAGATGTAAGAGATATCAGAAATAATGAATAATGCTCATGTGATTTGCTATAATTATGTAGACTTTTTTCATTTTCTGGAATGGTATAAGAATAGCCACATTCCTCAGCTAAAAGTTGAACAAAAGTGTGTATGAATGTTAAACCTGAAATTCAGTAATGATTACATTTTTCTGTGATTATATTCAATTCTCAATATTAAGACTACTGATTGTGAAACATGTTTGCAATATTTTATCACGGCAAGATGTATAAGCTTTCTTCATTTTGAGGGGCAGCTTAATTACCTGGTGCTTGTGGGAAAGAATAAGCAAACATATTAAGGCTGTGACCTTGATCCTGGTGCTAGGGAGAAAAAGATAAAGCAAGAAAATGTTTAGACTGGCTAAAACAGGATGGGTAAAATCTGGTCCTCTAGATGTTGGTTGTAACTCATACCACCCTTAATTAGTACAACCACTGGTGATGGCACTGACAGTAATCTCTGTAGGGCCACCCCAGCGTAATACAACACAGAAAGAAATGGTCAAAAAAGAGTAGAAGTCCCATCCAGTATCTGCAAGGATAGCAGCTTGCCTTTAGATGCATGCTGTGGTGATCGCCCTCGTGGCCCCAGCTTGTTTCCCCAAACACAGAGCTCACAAGGTACCTCAGCACGTCCTCTGATACGCTGCCACCAGTTGATCTCTTTTATCAACTTAGTTTACTTAGAAAAGACGAAGGTTCATCCAGTACTGATGTTTCAACAGAACAAGTTTATTAATTACAGATGGTTTCTGGAATAATTGATAAGCACATTCTTCAAGATTCATCAATATTAACCTTCTATATTAATTATCACAGGTTACACTCTAACTAATTAAGCCTCAGACCCCCAAACTATCCTCCTCTCTCTGATTCCTGACTCAGATTGACTGACTCCTCTCTCAGGTTCCGCCTTTAGAGCATCTCTTTCGGCCCCGCCTCTTAACCATATTAACATATAACATGAATAATGCATAACTTACAAAGTATAACTTAGGGTGAACGCTACATTCTTCCCCCCTTAAATATGTTTGTTTAGGAGGGGAAATTCATTTCCCCCTCCTAAACAAACATGCGTCATTGCACAAAAACTCTACTTACCCTCTGGCAAAAATTCTGCAAGCAATAACAACATCTTATATAACAATCACAATATCTTATCATTCTAAACACTTCAATACAGTTCAATTATATACTTTACCTTATAATTTTTACTTACGACATTTAACATTACAACCTTACAGAAATATAACATAATTATGAAACTTTTACATGAACACAATTTACATTACATTACCTCCACATCAAAAAAGCTACTCACCATTATTTTTACCCTCATTCTATACCTCTCGTTCATCACCATCCAAACTTTGCATTTTAATTATTTTTCATAACTATACATAAACAGAACATGTAATACCACATTACTCTCTTTTATCCACCCATTAGTCATTTAGCCTTCGAGGCAAGGTATCAGCATCCACGCTGAGTCCCTTTTACACTGTGGATTACAAAGTCAGAGTCTTGCAGGTTCCGTGTCCATGTTGCAAGCTTCCTGTTAATGGATTCCACAGTTTGTAGCCACACCAGAGGGAAGTGGTTGGTGCAAAGAATGAACCTCCTTCCCCTAATGTAGGGTTTCAGTCTTTGCAGCGTCCAAACAATTGATAGGCAGACAAATGTCTCTCACCAGGTCGGAATCTCCTGCTGATCAGAGTCACTGGGTGTAGATTCCCTCTGTGGTCCATTTTGTAATCAAGGTAAAAAAAATCAAGAATAAATAAAAGATATTGGTATGAGACAAAAAATTGTGATTTCTTCTACATGGCCTCTGTGAATCCACACAACTGGGTTCAGTCTGTACTTGCACTGAACTCCTTGGAATATTCTAGAACAGGGGTCTCAAACATGCAGCCCAGGGGCCATTTGCGGCCCACCGGATGGTAGTTTGTGACCCCCATCTTGCCTGCCCCCCCCGAAGCACCCACGTGTTCTCTGCTGTCAGGAGTAAAAAAAAGCCTCACCTCACTCGCCAGCTGTCTCCCAAGACAGCGCCTCTTGCACCCTCCATCCGGAACTGCAGCCTACCAGCCAGTCCGCCTGTCTGCCAGCTGGCAGGCTCAGTTCCGGATGGAGAGTGCAAGAGGCACTGTCTTGGAGGAAAGCTAGCAAGCAAGGCGTGCTGCTGGCCTTTTTCCCCAAGCGCCGCCGAGTGATGCCTGAGAACGGAGCTCGCTCCCAGCCCCTCCTCGAAGAGTGCCTCCAAGCCACCAACAGCAGCTGCCGCCGCCTCTTCCAGGAAAGTGGCTCTCTGGCTCTCTTTCTCTCTCGGCACCCCCAGCACCAGCCCGGCCAGCGGCTGCCTCAGTGCCCAGCGGTGCTTCCTTCTCCTCCTCCTCGTCCTGCTTCAGCCGCCTCGGCTCTGGAGGCTACCTGTGCTTACCTTGCAAAGTTTGCTCCTCTGTTGTGGTGGGGGTAGCTGCTAATGCTGCTGAGTGTGCTTTTTTTTGAGGGGGGCCCTCATAGGATGGTTGCCGGATCTCCGTGTCTGTGTGTTTGTGTGTGCGCACCTTTGGGGGGCCCACCCTATTCTGTTTAATTTTGCAGTACCAATGGGGGCTTTTCTCATTTGGCAAGGCAATTCTGTGAATTTTTTTAAAATTTTATTTCATGCCCTTCTCCACCCCCGCTAGGCGGTCACTGGCGCTCCCTCCCTTCTCCGCTTCTTCATCCTGCTGCTGCTGCTGCTGGTGGTGGTAGTGAAGAAGGAGCTGGAGGGGGTTGTGGCTGGCGAGGAGGGGTCTCGCACCCCTCCTCCTCCTCCTTGGAGCCCCAGCTGGGCTAAGAAAACTCCTGGGCAGCTTTGGGCTCCTGCTCCGCTTGGCGGAAAATCTGATGTGACCCAGCTTCAGCCAGACTCTGCCTCCAGCGGCCCCCAGGTAAATGGAGTTTGAGACTCCTGTTCTAGAGCTTAAAATAAGAAACATTAGTAGCACATTGCCTCCTACTACGAATGCTCCACCGGCCTGTGCACCTCAGTTCCATTTTTCCACTGTTGCGTTTGGAACGTCTCTTGTTACAGCTTCGTATTTTCTGCTTTTTCCAGTTTGATTCTGGTTTAGATTTTCGTACTTCTCTTGGATTATCTCTTCTATTTGATCACAGACTTCTAGTACTACAATTTTGCCTTCCGGACTTGATTGCACATTGTTTCCTGGCTTCTGATCACAGACCGTTTACTACTTCCCGCCTTCATATTTCAGACTGATTGATTCATTCATTGCCTTCATTTGTTCTTTCCTGGCTTATGGAGTTTAACATTTCTCATCTTGATTACTGGACTAATTCATTTGTGATTTCCTGGCGTTTGATCTCAGACCGTTTACAGTTTCCTACCTTTGTATTTTGGACTATTGCCTCATTCAGTGTATTTCTTCAGTTTGATCTCAGTCCGGTTTGACTTCTCTTTATGATCAGCGGTTTGGGACTGGATTAGCAAACTGTGAGTTATTCTTTCTTGTGTTTTGACTAGTTTATGGCCACTTCAGGCCCCTTCAAGTGGTGTTCCTCGTGTGCCGCCAAAATACCATTCACTGACAGCAGCAACCGCTGTTTGATTTGTTTGGGGGAAGGCCATCAATCGCAATCTTGCCCACAGTGTAAGAAGTTGTACAAACCTGTTCTAAAGTTGCGTGAGTGAAGGCTTAGAGCTTATCTGTGGGACAGATCCCTTTCCCCTTCTAAGCCTACCATGGAGTCCACCCTACCCCAACCTTCTACCCCTCATCCCAAGCCTCCGATTTTCACCTTACTGGTCACTCCATTGCCAAAATCCCTGACAAAATCAGTCAGAAAATCCTCGGGGTCTGTTTTGAAGAAGTCTTCCACCTCGACTTCGACATTGGCTCCAAAGCATGTGTCCACAGAAAGCCTGAAGAAAAAGCTTTGATTAAACAGAAGAAAGATAAGTGTACCTCTAAGGATCGACCCCGTGATCTCCCTCTGCTCTCGGTATCAGTTCCATCCCCTGTTTTTGAGGAGTCTTCTTGGCACCAGCCTGATACCGAGTCTGTTTCAGACGGCGCTACATCCATTTGACTTCACAGGCTCAGGCTTCAGTTTCCATCCAGAGCCATTCTCTGAGTCCTAGCCATGGTCAGGCTGAGATTCCTTCCAGCCAAGCTTCTCCCCATTCAAGCCCTGTGTCTACCAGGCAGGCAACTGTTATTAGAATTTCAAATTGGGAGGAGACTCACCCCTTAAGCCTTGCGTTCATTTCAGCTATGATGGACCTCATTACAGAGTCTTGGAATCTGCCCTCTACATCAATGCAGATTCCTCAGAGGATGGAGGGTCATTATAGGACCCATGGTGCTGATACCATGTTTTTGTCTAGGCACCTGGTGCCTAATTCTATTATCATCCTATCCAACCTATCTAGGACAGGAGGGAAGGCAAAGGTTACCCCATCCAATTGTGAGGGAAGGAAGTTGGATGTCTTAGGGCACAGATTGTATTTTTGCTACCTTTTTACTTAGGGTATCAAATTACCAGGCGGCTCTTGGAGCATACCAGAGGCAGCTGGGGGCTAAAGTTTTACCCACTATTCATGCAGCCCCTGAAGAGATTAGGGCAGCTCTTGTTAATGCCCATACAGAGGTGGTGACAGTAGCCAAAC